AGCCTCCAGCTTTGTGAGTAAAGTGCCCCCATTACCTGTGAGGTCCCTTTTCATTACTTGGGGACTGCTGATGAGTAGACCAAACATTGCCTAGCTTCTTACTGCTCTGGCAAAATAGTGTGGCTTTTGAATAGGTGTTGGTTTGTTTTTTTATTTTCTAACCAAGACTACAGGTAATATCTGTATATTGTCATAACAAACAATTTTTTTTAAACTGTCACAAGTTGAACTAAAACTGACATTTCCAGAGACAGTGTAACCTCAACTTACACCAAATGGATGTGTTCTGTGTTTAATAGCCTCCATTTTAATTTATTTTTAAAATGCATTCCAACAGCATTATTAATAAAAATATGTATTCATCTAGTTCTTTTCTTCTAGAAATGACTGCTGTTACTGCAGGCAACGTTAACTTCAAATGGGACCCCAAAAGCTTGGAGATAAGAACACTGGCGGTTGAAAGACTACTTGAGCCTCTTGTTACGCAGGTAGGAGGAAAAAAGGGGGCAAAAAAACCCTTCATAAGGATGATTACCTGTTTCGATGTATTATTTAAATTAAGGAACTTTCAAAACATAAATTCCAGACATAAAACCAGTACAAAACTAAAGATGGAAAAAAGCCTATAAGTAATTTCTTTGTTCAGTTTTAAGAGTTACTTGGCACGAACCTAGAAGCCTGTGCTGCCTCAGCACCTGGTTAGACACGGGGTTTCAATTAGAAGTGCAGAAATGCATGTTAGTAACTCATGTTCCAAATGGAAAAGTGTGGATTTTGTGATGTCTCTCTGTGTTTGAAAGGGAACGGATCCAGATCCTGAGCCTAACAGAGTACCTGGTGGTCATCTGGCTGCTGGTGACCATCTCCTGTGCAGGGTTTCAGTCTAAAACATAAAACTTGGAAATACTTGTTGATTGTGGGAGGATTGTGAGAGTTCAGTTTGGGTGGTTTTAGGGAAACAGTGAGCTCTGGGAAGTCCTTTGCTCTGATCTAGTCCACTGGCTGTAGTACTGGTTTGGACTGAAAAGACACTTTGTTGCCAGACTTCTGTATATAATGGCATCAGCCTCGTTTGGGGTCTTTTATGCCTGGAGAGCTATCCCAAACTAATTATCCCCAACTTAGTTTCTTTTTATGTGGTGCCAATCTGGCCTGTTACTGAGATTGCACTTTATCAAAGGTACAAGTAGATCTCAGTTCTTAAAACCAAATGTTCGGGTCTGCTGCTGACAAGAAAAATCTCTTAAGCACTTTAGCTCAATTTATAATGCTCATCTAAGGAATCAAGAAGTATGGTAATGTTTAAGGAGATGTGAAAAACACTTGTTCATGAGTTTAACCTTTGGAACTGGCAATAGTGCAGGTATTAGTGAGACACTGTCTATCAAATTGGTAAACTTCTACTTTGTTTAATGTTTGGTTTTTTGTTGGTTTTTTTTTTTTGTTTTTTTTTTCCTGTCTATCTATGCCTTTAGGTAACAACACTGGTTAACACTAGCAACAAGGGCCCCTCTAATAAAAAGCGGGGGCGTTCTAAAAAGGCCCATGTTTTGGCTGCTTCAGTTGAACAAGCAACAGAGAATTTCCTGGAGAAAGGAGACAAAATTGCGAAAGAGAGCCAGTTCCTTAAAGAGGAGCTGGTAGCGGCTGTGGAAGATGTTCGTAAGCAAGGTAAGAACCATGTAACTGATAAGTGGTAAAGCTGGTTTTTCAGAGTAAGTAAAACTGTTCCTGTTTCCCTTTTGCTGTGATTTGTAATGACTCTGCGCCTCTCCACTTGTGTAGATTCTCAGCTTGTCTTGCTGGCTTCCTTGAGGAATAATATGAACCGGGCAGATGTGGAAATTGGATGTCCTGAGGAGAGGTTGGAAGAGAGGCAGAATGGCTGATTCTTTGAAGAACATTTAAAACTCAGTTTAGGCTCAGAAGTAA